GGGCCCCCAAAGGGCCCCAAAATGAGATTAGGGGCCCCACAGGGCCCCCCAAGGATGGGGGGCCCCCCAGGGGCCCCTAGTCTGATGTGGGGCTTTTGCTAGCCGTGGGGTGTATGTACAGCTTGTGGATTTTTCAGTATTTGTTTGGATTGAATTGGAGCTGCTTTTTAATACTAGTTTGCTGCTGTTGCTGCTGCTTAGCTGCTGCTGCTGCTGCTGCTTAGCTGCTGCTGCGGCTCGTGGTTGCTGCTGCGGCTCGTAGCTGCTGCTGCTACTGACCAGCTGGTTGTGCTGCTGCTGGTGGCTAGCTGCTGGCGTCGCTTCTGGCTAGCTGCTGGGGTGTTGCCTAGCTGCTGCTGCAGTGGCTAGCTGCTGCTGCAGTGGCTAGCTGCTGCTGCTGCTGCTGCTGGAACAAAAGAAAATAAATTTGAATGGAGAGGGAACAGAGTGGGGGCTGGCGCTGCGGTGTCTGTTCAGTGCGTGTGGGGGTGGGGGGCCTCTTTTTGAAGTTCTTTTTGCAGAATAAGTTGGTTAAAAATTGAATAGAACAAAAAGAAGCAAATGGGCTTAAAGGAAGGGGTTAAAAGGGGAAAGCTGCAGCAGCAGCAGCAGCAGCAGCAGCTCGGGAGCCGCGTGAAGGCCCCAGCCCCGGGGCCCCCCTTCCGGGGGCGGCCTCTGCAGCAGCTGCAGCCGCTCCTTTGCGTCTTTTGGGTTTTAAATGAATTAAATTTCATAAAAAGGAAAGTTTGGATGCATTTGTTGTGGATTTAGAGTTGGTTTGTGGCTCGCGCCGTGTTGGGGGCGCAGCAGCAGCAGCAGCAGCAGCAGCAGCTCGTTTGGGGGCGTGCCTTGCAGCCCCGGGCTCTAGACTGCAGCGTTTTGACCCAATTAAAGCAGCAAAAAGGAATTTAAAACTTTTTATTCTTTTCTTTTATTATTTTCTCCATTTTTAAGTCCAAACAATTCAAAATGCCGAGCAAAAACGCCCGCCTGCAGCAGTGGCTCAACTACCGCGTCCGCATTGTCCTCCAGGTTGGTTTTTCTTCATTTTGCATTATTTTTTTTAATTTTTAATTTTTAATTTACTATTTATTTATTATTTATTAATTGCTCTTTTGTTTGCTTCTTATTTGTTTGTTTTTCCGCTCATTTGCCCCCACCTTCGGGTCCTTTTCAGTTTTTTCCGAACATCCTGCTAATTCATTTCTCGTTTTTTCGCACATTTGTTTGCATTTCTCGCGTTTAATTCATTTACTTGTTTGTTCATTCTTTTATTTATTTATTTGTTTGTTAAAAGCCGATCTTTAGAGTCCTTAAATCTGTCTTTGGCGGAAAATGCGAAAAGGAAACTTTCCAGCATTCGTGGGGTAGTTGGCGCACAAGTGCAAAAACGTGAAGTTTTCAACATAAGCGCAGCAGCAGCAGCAGCAGCAGCAGCGACTCGAGCACAGCAGCAGCACCAGCAGCAACACCGCAGCAGCGGCTGCAGCGCAGCAGCAGCAGCAGCCCCAGAACCCAGCAAAAGCAACCACCACCACCTCAAAACCACCACCATCACCAGCACCAGCAGCAGCAGCAGCAGCAGCAGCAGCAGCAGCAGCAGCAGCAGCGTGGGTGTGCGCTGCAGGACTCGCGGATGCTGGTGGGGACTTTTCTGGCTTTTGACCGGCACATGAATTTGGTGTTGGCGGACGCGGAAGAATTTCGAAAAGTGAAAATCAAAAAGTCGGAAGCAAAAAAGACTTTTGTGGAGGAGAAGGAACTCAAAAGGACCGTCGGATTCATCCTCCTCAGAGGCACGCTGCTGCTGCTGCTGCTGCTGCTGCTGCTGCTGATGGTGGTGGTGCTGCTGCTGATGGTGCTGCTGCTGGTGCTGCTGATGCTGCTGCTGATGGTGGTGGTGCTGCTGCTGATGGTGGTGGTGGTGCTGCTGCTGATGGTGCTGCTGATGCTGCTGCTGACAGTGCTGCTGATGCTGCTGCAGCTGCTGCTGATTGTGCTGCTGATGGTGCTGCTGCTGCTGATGGTGCAGGTGCTGATGGTGCTGCTGCCGATATTGCTGATGATGATGATGTCTTGCGGCTGCCGATATTGCTGATGATGATGATGTCTTGCGGCTGCTGCTGGGCTTTAGTTGGTGCTGGTGCTGTTCATTTGCTGCTGCTGCTGCTGCTGCAGCGGTATATTTGCTGCAGCAGCAGTTTAGCTGCTGCAGCAGCTGCTGGAGCGTGTAGTTTGTAGCGTGAGTTTCTCGTTTTTGGCGCCTGTGCTGCCCCAGGGCCTAGGGTTTAGGGTTTAGGGTTTAGGGTTTAGGGTTTGTGCTGCAGGTGAAAACATTTGCACTTTCATAGCGGAGGCCCCCCCGCAGCAGCAGCCCAAGAGGCCCGAGGGGGCCCTCGCGGGCCCCGGCCGGGGGGCCCCCGCAGGCCGCGGGGTGGCCCCCGTGGGGGCCCCCCTGGGGGCCCCCCTGGGGGCCCCCCCGGTGGGTTTGGCGGGCCCCGTGAGGGGCGTGGGGGCCCCCGCCCCACACCAGATGATGGGGGGGCCCCCCATGGGCCGGGGGGGGCCCCCCATGGGGCCCCCCGGCATGCAGCCCCCCATGGGGAGCATGCCCCCCATGATGAGGCCCCCGGGGCCCATGATGTGAGGACCAGTGGTCACGCGCGCTGCTTCTGCTGCTGCTGCTGCTGCAGCAGCAGCAGCAGCAGCGCTGGAGCTAGAGGGAAACTGAGAGGGACTGGGGAGGGGCCTTTTAATTCGATAAGACAAAAACGAAAACGGCAGCGAGAGGAGACAAAAAGGTCCACTGGTCACCGCAGAAACGCATGCAAACTGCAGCAGCAGCAGCAGCAGCAGCAGGGAGGTGGGGGCAGCAGCAGGGCCCGGGGAGCCCCTTTGTTTGTTTTGCTGCTGCTGCTGGGACCCTGGAGTTCTATTTATTTATTTATTGTTTGTTTGTTGTTGCTGCCAGCCCAGGTGTACGTACACCTCAGGTGTACGTACACCTCAACTGCGTGGCCTTTCTCGTGCTGCACTGTCGCGAAACAAAAAATCTTTAATGCTTGAATAGGAGGGTTTAGGGTTTGCAAACCCTCGTTTAGG